TTTATTTTTATTGTCAAATACGTAAAAAAGTCCATAAAATTTCATTGGTTAAAAAGTTGACAGTGTGACAGCTAAAAGTTGAGCTTGAAAACTTGCATAAATTAAAATTTTATCTGTCTGTACTCTTATTAATGATAAAAATGAGCCAATCAGTGTATGAGAAATTAGACAGTTATTGTAAAAGAGCCTATCGCAAGTTCGAAATTTGTAATCTTGTTTTAAAATACTTAGGGGAAAAAAATTTGAATTGCCTTTTAGTTTTCTTGTTGTTCACACTACATTTCTTTTGTATTTCATGTAGTTCGACCAGAATGAAAATTTCTTCACAGATGGTGTGCAAGTCAACCTGCGTGTACAATCAAGTAAATATAGACCAAAATATTTTAGTGATGGATTGACAAATTATGTCCAAGAGACTGTGTAGATCTACTTTTTGAGAGAGAGAAAGCTATATACTTGTTGATACCCTGCCGCAATTTTGGCTTTTTTCCCGCCATTTGGTTGATTTCCCACCTAGCGGTTTATTTCCCGCCCCGTTAATAGTTGATGGCCCACTGTTGGTCGATTTACTGCCTTGATGTGTGGTTGATATCACGCCACGTGGTTGATGTCCTGGCAGGTGGTTCAGATTTCCCACCCTTTTGATGGCACTGTAATTGTTGATGGGGTAAAATGCCGTAGCATTTAACTGTTTTGACGGTAATCATTGGTTTTCTTTTTATTTGCGTAGATTAATAATCGAACAATAGTATTATGTACTTATAAGATCATTTTTTAGTCGCTTTTTTTTTGGCTTTTAAACTTTCAGCAGGTTCCCTCAGTAGTCACCTTGGAAAGTACATCAAAGGTTAAATATTTAGTGTGTGATCGACCACAAGCATTTTAAGAATGTTCTTCCAGTCTGATATTTCCCTTGGTGGCCACCTGAGCTATTTCTTTAAAGTGGTAAGGTTGATATTTTCATTACAAAATCAAAGTTACCGGACTCTTATTGCTGGCTTTCACTGTCCCACCATCAAAAAAGCCTTTTTTTCAGGGGGTATTTCAAGTAGCCAACCCAATTAACTGTTGCTAGGAAGAGAGAAATACAGGTCAGAAAGGTAACAGGGTGGAATTTTACTTCCCAGTGCAACAGCAACAGCAAAAACAATGACAATAGCATATTTATTTGGAATCCCCATATTTTAACATGCCATTGCAATAAAATCAAACAAAATGAAACAGGATAAAATTATCAGCATAATGCAGTGGGTATATCTGAAGAAATTTAAAGAGGTACTGAGACACTTGATGTATTTGTGGGGCACTCCCTAGGGATTTGCACCCCAGCTCATGTTTTATCCGAAACAAATAACAAGTATCATACCAAAGTTGTTTAGGACATTTCAGAAATTCTACTCACATAATACTATTTTACATGTGTTTGTTAATTTTTCAACCTTACAATATAATTTTTATTTACTTTAATGATTGTGCTCTTTACCAAAAAAACTCAACGCTGTACTAAACTTCATAGTCTTTCCTGTTTTTGGGTAGGTATTCGAGTTTGATGACTGTACACTTAAACGAGTTTGCATTGGGAATAACTGCACACTGTATTAAAACTATTATGATATTTTGATGACTGTGCTAGATTTCCTGTTTTTTTTCCCCCCGTTTTGTTTTGTTTTTATAATTTTTTGACCATGCACTGTAAACTTTAAACGATTTGTAACTGACTATACACAGCTTTAAAACTATAATCATTTTTTCAGCAGCTGTTTCTTACACTCATAATTCATGCTACATCAATGACTGTACACTTAAAAGGGTTTAAAATTCATGGTACACTGTTTTTCAACCATTATGATTTTTGCATGGTGCATGCTACATATCATAGCCCTCCTGTTCTTTTTTTGTTTGTTTGTTTTGGTTCATAATTTTACAACCATACACTATATGCCTTAAATGACTTGTAAATGACTGTACACAGTTTTGAAACAATTTTCTCTGTTTCTAGCTCAAAAGAGTCTATCCTTTTGTGGAGCTTGTAATTTTAAGACCATCCTAACTTCAAATGTGGTTACTTGAAAGCAAACATGTCCTTTCCTCGTCTCTATTTGTTGACCCCTTTTTCTTGAATAAGTATTTCACTTTGTTGTAGCTGAGCGCTCAAAGTCACCGTCGTTTCTGTTAAGGATTTCCTTGAGGCCGTTGTTTGAGTGGAATAATGACTTCAGCTCTTCTTTGTTTGGACACACAGAATATTTTCCAAAGAAGTTTTCAACGTACTTCTCATCTGGCTTATTCCATTTTGCTTTTGGTTGGTGGTTAGTGACACCAGACACAGATTCCACTTCAGTTATGCTGTTAACCCAATTTGCTTCTGTTCTGCTCAACGATGGTTCATGTTCCTTTGACGGTAATGCCATCTTCTGCTTTTCTTTTCGTCTCAGGTAGTACACTTTGTCAGACTTTCTTGACCATCTTAGGATTGTTAGTTTTGAAACGCCGATCGTTTATCAATTTCCTTTGCAACTAATCCTACTGATTTATTATCAGTTATTATTGAAGCCAAGTAAAATTGTGATTTTCACGCATATGTAATAGTTCTAGAAATTTTGCTGCTAGGAAGTTGTCTTTATTGTGGGTGCCATGTTTCTCACAACGCCCTAGTTTTTTCACGCAGCATAGGCAATAAAAGACGACACACAACTTCTTTTAGTCAGAGACTGTTAGTGAAGTTACCCCGCTACTGTGCTACGATCAGAGGATCCAAGTTACCGCTATTTCAAGTGTATTTCGCTGTCTCTCTGTTACCTTTTGGTGCGAGTCGTCAACCAAAGTACCTAAGTTCTTATTGTTGTAGTTATTTGCTAAGTCACAAATTGTTAGTCTTTTCTTTATCATGAAAAGGTTTCATTTAGTTTATCTAAGTTCTGTTGAGATCACTTTCACAGCTCTACTATTGCTAAGGCTTATTGTCAAGTTGCTTTATTAGTCCAATTGTCATACGATTACCAAATTGTGAGTTCTTTCACGCTATATTTAGCTATTTTGCCCGATAGTCGTTGGTATCTTCATTTGTTACGACAAGAGTTGTTATCGTCTCAGTTTTATTAGTTTCAAGTATCAATATTGTCTTGTCTATTTGTTTAACGTTATGATCTTGTTAGGTTATTATGATTGTTCTATCCTGTTAGATTTGTATTTTATGTGCCTTATCTAAGTAGGACGTATTCTTAAGTACAGCTTTTCATAAAAATTTAAAAACGATCTCTGGCTAAAAATGTTTATAGATATATGAGCTTTCGACTGTTAGATCTACAGTCTTCAACGGGTAAAGATGAATGACGAAATATGAATATAAATGAGTAAAAATAAAAAGAATTACTATGTAAATTAATTATGAATGTGTGTAAAAAGAATGTTGTATTGCCCAGGGAGTGGGCAGGAATTGTTGACAGCATTTGGAGTCACCATAGTATGCCACGATTCTAATGTTTTCCTTATTCAGAAACTGCCTTTGTCAATTAAGGAGGCGTTGTTAAAGTCAATAGAATGTTCATGGGACCACACATGGTTTGCAATTTTGGAGCTTTTAGCCGCTGTTTTGATATTTCTTATGTGTTCTTCTCTTTGGGTGTTAAACACTCTGCCAGTTTCACTGATATAACACCATCAACAGTCAGCGCAAGGAATTTTGTAAACAGCGTTGGTTTGTGAATCCAGAGCAGGACGAAATTTCGGGGCCGGGAACTGTTGTAGAGTGGTCATTGGCTTATTTATAACCGAAATATCATGTTTTTTTTAGGGTGCAGGTCAAGGGCTCACTTACACTTTTGATGTATGGAAGAGACGCGAAAGACTTGCGTGACTCGGAAGGTTCAACCAAATTAAAAAACATTCCAACAAGTTTCTCAGTGGGTAAATTTGGCAATGGTTGAGTTTTCTTGGTTTGTATATCACGGATAAATTAATGGATGGATAGCCATTAGACTCCAACGCTACGTAAACATGATTAAGTTCTTGTTCTTTCCCTTCAGATGTGTTAGGTAGATTTAACGCTCTATGCAAGAGGGTTGCTGCCGTGTCACTTTGTGTTTTTTGTCATGGTGAGAATTAAAGTCTAAGTACCTGTCCGTATGGGTTGGTTTTCTGTAGACATCCACAGAAATTGCTCCATTGTTGCAAGAAACCAATGTGTCAAGAAAAGAAATTTTTCCATTACATTCTTGTTCGATGTTGAAGGAAATGTTAATGTCTATTGAATTAAGTGTGTCATAGAAGGCTGTAACTCCAGTCTTTTTAATAATGCAGAAGCTGTCATCAACATACCGTTTCCAAATTTTAGGTGTAACAGGTGACGCATTGATTGTAGATTCCTTGATCTCTTCCATGCAGAGATTGGCCACAATGGGACTGACCGGACTGCTCATGGCACAACTGTGGACTTGTTTGTAGATTTTGTCACTGAAGACAAAATAGTTGTTCGACAAAGTGAAGCTTAGCAGAGAAACAATGTCATTGATGTTTAAATTTGTCCTGGAGGGAAAAGATGTGTCATCTTGAAGTTTTTTCTTGATTATATTTACTAATTTATATTCATATTTTGTCATTCATCTTTACCCGTCGAAGACTGTAGATCTAACAGTCGAAAGCTCGTATATCTACAAACATTTTTAGCCAGAGATCGTTTTTAAATTTTAAATGCTCAACCCTGGCTATGGTCCTTCAATATTTTTATGTATATAGCTTTTCAGTTCAAACCTACTTGTACAACTGCTACTCCTATTCGTATCTGCTACCACTACTTGTGATCTACTGGTTTTCGCTATTTCGTCAGTCGCTATGTATTGTGAACCAGATCTATGGACTTGATCTGTCATTAAATCAGTTTGAATCTACCAAGTGGAGTTCGAATCACTTATCATCTCGCACTGCGCTTAACCCCTGTAATTGTTTAAGATTTGAGTAAGAAGCAACCTCTAGAATCTTTACAACTACAAGGATCACTCGCAAATTTGCTTAAATCGATATATTCAGCCATGGTGTTTCTCACAATGTCAAATGTGATTTAGGCCTGAGAAATTATTTGGCTGGAAAACAGCATTTCGATGACTTCTAGTTGACTACTGGAGAGTTCTTCTTTGTGAATAATTGGCTCTGATTCTTCCTTGTGGTTGTCATCATCAAGCTTTGCTGAATTTGCTGACATGGTGTTTGATTTTGTAGCCACTGACGTATCCAAGCCAAGGGACTTTTTCAGTAGTTGGTGACCTTGGGCAGACTTCTTTGTGATATGGTCTATATTGTAATAGTGATCTGCCATTTCCTCTTTAGGAGCCATGTGTTCGTGAATGGCCCTCTTTTCAACAATGTCCATATCATAAGTTGCTGATGAGGCTATCTTCCTGATATTGGTGCTCAATAATTTAATTTGCTTAGCGTTGAACCAAAAGGCGGTTACCCTCTTTCCGATGTTGCTCTGATCAAAGGGTGTCCCTTCCACTATCAGAAACAGGGTGTCCTCACTATCATCGGCACACATGCCGCGCACGTGTTCAACATACAAACACATATTGTTTGTTTTTTTGACGGTTGATGGTGAACAAATTTGGTCATTTGACATTTAACGGCTTATTAGGGATGACTATTGGCAGTTGATAGTAAAGTATTAGTAATAATTTCCTTTTCAATGCTGACGGTTAACCCTTCTAAAACCCTCGTATAAGGCCTGCGCCTGGTGCACACTGACGGCTTAACGGCAAGGTCATGCAAACGCCAAATGACCTTAAAATTGAGGTTAATTATGTCCAGTGTGAACAAGATAGTGTTAGAATGAATACATAGTGGAACATCGCTGGCAAGGATACAAAAGATACAGAGGTTATAACTTAAACTTACTGTTAATTGGGCAACACACTTTGCCTATTTTGTTGTTACAAATTGGGCAATCAATTTTAAATGCCCATTTAAATCACTGACATTCTTGATCTACTGAAGCAGTCTCCATTGTCATTGCCAAAAAATACTACATTTTCAAAAAGAAATATCAAAGTTAGGGCAAGTTCTAGCCTTAAAGGTGTCAATCTGACAAAAAGTACGCATTTTGGTTGATTTCCCGCCACATTTAGCTATTGCACTAAAAAACTGCCTGAAATATGCAAGGTAATGCAGAAAAGAGACATATCATGCCATTATCCATGCAGTTTTACACTCTGATATAAATTTTCAACCACATTGGTTAGAAATAGCAAGTTTTATTGTGATTTGAAATCGTGTTTGATTTCCTGTGTCACACTTGCTTTATCGCATTGTAAGTATGTGTGAATTTATTTAGCTTATTCCCTCTCAAGCAACTGAAGTTACATTTATTCTTGTCTGTGTGGTTCCAAAAAAATTTGAATGTCATTTCTTGAGCTTTGAATCCAGTCCTGGTCATGCAAGTACACCTGAAAATTTTCATAACTCCAAAAATCGATATTGCTGCAACGGCGGTAACATGAGGTAATGGTATGGGAGTCGGGTGAATCATAATTGATCATGATTTCCACGAAAAAAAAGTTTCCCACAATTTTTTTTGTGTGTGCTTTTAGAGTAAAACAGCTGTTTTCTCACCAGTTCAAAAAGTAAAGAGCTAAAAATTCGTGAAACTTTGGTGTAAAAGAAAACCGTAAACTGGATGAAGATTTGTACTTATAGATTGTCTGTGCTTAGTTTCAGGTTGTTGCATAATGTCTGAAATTTTTTTTTATTTTAAAAAAACCAAGTTTTCCCTGGCACTGAAGTGCTTGATGAGGGATACACAGAGAGAGAGATACTGTCCAATTGTGTCAAATGTAACCTGAACGCATGGTGGCTGGTGATGCAGATTTTTTTTTTTTGCTTCTAGAAATGAGAGATTCAAACAAATTGAAATCAAAACTTGAAATAATTATGGAGAAGAGAGTGCTTGATACTTGTCAACATAAGTATGTTCTGTAATCATTACAAAATCTATTACAAGAGACATAATTATCTGCAATCCTTTTGAATGTTACTGCATTGCTAGTGAGATTAGCACAAACAATCACCAAGATATATAGGAATAAAATAATGTGATTTTTGTTTCCAAGGAAGAAAGTTATTTTACGTGCATACACTACAATATGTAGTACCCTCGGCGTGTCTAAAATACTGGTAGCTGGTGACTGGTGACTGGTGACTGGTGACTGGTCACTGGTCACTGGTAATTGTTGACTGGTAACTGTTGACTGGTGACTGGTGTCTGATAGATTTGATACCATGAAAGTCCCTTACTACCGATGCAGTAAACTAAGTGTACCTTAGTACACTTATAAAAAAGATTGTGTGGTTCCAGAAAATATCCATACCCCCCCCCACAGAGAGTTTTTTCCAGGTTGAACCCCCACCCGCCAGGATTTTCTGTTCCAGGGGGCTTCACAGTACTCCCCCCACTCCCTGGAATTTCCATAATTTTTCTACTTGCCTCCCCCCCCCTACCCCTCGGAAATTCCATATCCATAAAAACAAGACCCATTCATTGTAATAAAATTTAGCCACAGCTGTTTATAGTTACATTGTAGACAAAGACTTACTTTTTCATGGTACACTGCACACGCGGTGCGTTCCTTCATGTCATGTTGAAATGTTTGAACTGGTGTTTAAACTAATGTACAACTGACTTAGAAGCGCTTCACTCCCAAATGGCATAGCAGCTGACTTTTTCTTCATTAAAGGAAGTTTTTGTATGAGAATCTTGGAACATACATAAAGCTCTTTCATATAACCCAGTCGAAGTTTTAATTTATGCATAGTCAAAACAACATATCAAATTTCTTTACACATGCAGTGAAGTCGTCACGCAACCTTTTTTTTCAAAACAGCTGTTTCCCAAACGTCGCTTTATTTTTTCTTTCACCAAAGGAATACATCAATACACTAAATTCCTGTAACCAGTGACCAGTTACCAGTTACCAGTTACCAGCTATCAGTTACCAGTTACCAGTTACCGGTATTTTAGACACACCGTAGTACCCTTATTATTGTATTGCACAGGTGGGGTGGGCTTCTCCCTATAGTTGACTAAAGGTGCACTTTTTTCAGGCTGGAGGTATTATAAGACTTAACAGGACAGGGATTTCAAACATTAATTGATTATTTATCCAAGAAATAAGATATGGTAGGGCCACATTAGGTTTTTAAAAGGGGTTTCAAGCTAGAAGCTACATGTATATGAAAGGGAAGCCCTTTCTGTCAAAAACACTTTGTAAAATGGATAGGCTTTTGACCTTGGGGCAGACCTCCCTTTATAAAACTTTGTTACTTCCCTTCCCCCTCCCCATGGACATAGTTATATGGTAAAAAAAGTTATAAATTGTAAATTAAAACATCCCCTTCACTTCGGGTTCAAGATTGAAACAAAACTGTCTGAAATGATTCTTATAATATTCAAGGAAATACTTTTCTTTCTATAGATTTCCCATCTACCAGCAAGGCTGGGAACATTGTATTGTGTTCTTGAGCAAGACACTTTACTCTCACAGTGCCTCTCTCCATGTAGGAGATAAATAGATACCAGCAAATTTAATGTTAGGGATAACCTTGCAATGAACTAGCATCCCATCCAGGGGTAGTAGAAATAGTCGCTTCATGCTACAGAAACCGGGAAAAGTGCCAGTCTGATGGGCCACTTGGCTCATGTGCAGACTTTACTTCCACTTCCGAGTTGCTGTTTGCCTCTTTTTCAGATCAAGTGCTCAAGCAAAACGTTTCACATGAAATTGGCTTGATTTTCATGAGAGTGAACGTACAGGTGACATACATTTTCATACCAAGACTCGTTTTGCCACAGAGGCAAAAATCAACTTGGAATTGGCCTATTTATCCATGAGCTGGCTCAGGGAGCCTTTGATTATTTGCCATAGAGAACACTGATTTCTTGTTAGACACAGAGAGTAAACCTTGAGTGGGCATTAAGCAGCACTGTCTAATGTCTTTGAATCACTATGTGAACTCAGAAGAAGTTGACAGGTGAAGTCCTTGCAAGACCAGTTGTACTCCCATGCCACCCTCTCCAACTTTGTTATTGTGCCTGACACATTTAGTTGATACGAAACAATTATGTGGTTGATGAAGTCTAATTTTTGTCTATCCCTACTGCAACCATAGATCGAGATTTCTGACTTGAAGTTCAAAGTTTGGTAACAGAGCACAATAAATGCTTGTTGTTTTCCTTTAAGCAGTTTGAGTTGGAACAGACTACTTATAATGACATACTTGGCCTGCTGAAATAGTAGGTGACCAAATTTGCTGCCTGATTGAAAATTCCCTAGACCTGGTCGAATTTTTTAAGCCTTGTAATTACTGCTACCTTTTTAGTAAATTCCCAGTGCATAAAGCTTTTGCAGTCACTTGCATGCCAAAGTCAATATGGTCGTTTTATAGTGCTGAAGTTTTCTTTTTGGTGAATCATTCAGACAGTCAAAAGTATGTGTGTATGATTTTGAGGACAATTTTGCAATGTAATGCTGTGGGTAATGCTGTTTGTATTCCTGATAGAATTGGTACAATAATTTCAAATGACTAATAATAATTATTTGTTTACTCCTTGACTTTAGGGGTCTTGAGGAAGTCAAAGACTTTGGAAAATTCAAAAACTTGCAAGTTGTGTGGCTAAATGGGAATAAGGTAACACCTGATTCATGTCATGGCTGGGGTGTAATCTTACAGCGTGACCTTAATATCTCAGTGAACAAAATTCCTAAACCCATAACTGTATACAATATTACTGTTAAGAAGTACACTTCCTATTTCTAATAAGCACCCTCCACGTAAGTATGTATTTTTTTAAATGCCANCGGTCGTTCGATTTTGTCGTCCGAAAGTAACGGTCCCCCCAAAAGCAACGGCTCCCCGAAAGTAACGTTACTTTTTTACCTTCCTATTGAACCTCAAAAATAATGGCTCCCCCGGAAAGTAGCAGCCCTTTAAAGATTACCACTCAGCTACATGTGCAATAAAAACCGTATAATTTATATTAATTTTGATGTAAGGTTTCAAGCAGTAACCTTTAGATCAATGTACCAACATTTAAAGCGACCCCATACCCCACTGGGGGTAGTAAGGACTGATGATGACCAACATTTAAGGTAATTCCTCTGAAATAAAAGTGACAATAGATTTTTGTTCAAACTTTGTCCACTGAATATTTGTCATATGATAACTTCAATTTTGAAATA